GCAACGACGCTGCCGCAACTCAAGATCAGATCAGAATGCTTACTGGGGTATGCAATGAAATGTTTCCGCGCTTTTAAAAAAAAAAATTTTAACAAGCTCTATGTTATTGCAGATGACCGAGGTAACAGACGTTGCATCCGCTGTGTGGTGCTATTTCCCACCGATACCGATTGCAGTGAAGAAAGTACTCACGCGGATATTAGCATGCCAAGAATTTCTAGTGCATGAGTCAGTGTAACCTGCCTAACTAACCGTACCCGTTACAAAATGCTGTACTGGAATTTTGTTCTCGTCCAAATCAGTTATATAAAGTGGCATCTTTGTCGCTAGCAACTTTGGCCATATTTTGCTTTCATCATGGCGCAAACCCCTGACTTATCCGCAGAATTGTTTGACCCCGGCACCAGTGCTGAAACTAACTTTGCTGATAGTGCTCTTTCAATCATAATTATGCGCTTCTCGATCACAATTATTTTATACCTCCGGCTCCGATCGATGTGCCAGTACAGAACCTAGAAGAACTTGATTCGGATTTGTATGATATTAAAGATTATTATGAGTTGGAAAAACGGGGCTAAATATTCACAAAAATTTTCAGTGTCGTTTGAAACCTATAAATGTGTGATACACGGTCTGGATAATTTGTCATTTAAATACGCGATTAAAACCATAACTCTTTATTGAAAGACATTCTGGACACCGTGCTTTCGGCAATTCAGCCCACAATTTGGTTAGAATTCGCTTGTATCAAAACGCACTGCAATACCCAATTTGGATGCCACCTATCCAACGTGATCAGCTGAGTGTTGAAAGATGGATGACAACGATCCGGAGAATCTTGAATTCAAATCAGGCGTTTTTATTGGATGAATCTTTTAATTGTCTGTGCAGCATACGGATATTCCAACTGGGTCGCAGAAAAACGTTTCAAAGCTGTTACGGCAAATACTGGACAAGAAACGATGCATTACACAAATCCGCAACACGGACTGCTTGTGTATGGCGCGAGCTATTGTGGTCGCTAAGGCGCATGCAGATGGCGATAAAATAATGTATACAAAGCTTTACCGAACGAAGAAGTTGCAGACCGAAAAGACCAAGGAGTTGCTGCAGGCTGCGGAATTGCCAGATAGAGAATTCAGTGTGGAGGATATTCCTCGATTTGAAATCGTTTACCAAATTATCAATTTATTGTAGTCTCGGTGGACCATGGAAACTCAATTGTGTACTGCGGCGCGTACTGTGAAAAAACGGATCATGCTGCTGCATCATGATCATCATTTTGACGTGCTAGCATCCCTGCCCGCGTATTTTGAACAACAGTATTATTGCTACCGCTGTATGAAGGGCTACAACAAAAGGCAGAACCACAGATGTGAGTTCAAGTGTCATCAGTGTTTATCTGTAACCTGCCCTATGGACAAGCTTCAGAACATCCACTGTCCTGACTGTAATCGCGATTTCCATGGGCAAGAGTGCTTTTACACGCATAAGTCCGGAAGCAGTCCAATCTGCGCAAAAGTTCTTTATTTGTGAATTATGTAAGTCGTTTGTTTCCATGGTGAATCGTCGAATGAAGACCAATTACGACTTCACAAAATTATCCGCTTTACGATGACGGCGACAAGGATAGCGACAATGAAAACGATGATATTGAACTGGATATAGATGACCAACAACATCGGTGTGGTGAAGTCTTTTGCCCAACGTGCTCATTGTTCTTCATGCCCGAAGATAATCATGTCTGCTACATGCAACCCATTGAGCTCACAGACAAAGAAAAGGCTAAACACCTGAACGATAAGCTAGCGTACTTTGATCTTGAAACGTTTCAAGATGAGGCAGGTGATTTCAAAGTGAATTTAGCGGTCATAGCAACAAAAAAGACGAGAAATTTGTCCTTCCGGAAGATGGAAATATTAGCGGTGATATTTCAAGTGCGTTGGGGAATTCATCTTTAGCGAACGCTTTCGTGGGTACACCTTTATTGCAAACAACTTGAAGGTAAACAATGTCAAAACTTCATAAGCAATCATAAGCTTTTGTTGACAAAACTTACTTTTTAGGATTTGACGGGTATTTTCTGCTAAACTATCTAATTAAGAACGGAATCATTCCACACCCATTGATCTTTAACGGGAGCAAGGTTGTGCAGATGGATATTTCAAAACTTAAAATAAAAATTCCGTGACTCTATGAATTATGTGCCGTCATCGCTCAAAAATTTTGCCAAAGCATTCGGTTTGCAAGAAACCAAAGGAGACTTTCCTCACAAACTTAATCAGCCAGAAAATTGGAACAAAATTCTTCCATGGCCAGATCGACACGATCACGGTTACCAGCTCATGAAAAGAAAGAGCGTAAACGTTTTATAAAGTGGTTCCGTAAAGAGCGACGCCGTCACAACAATCAATTTGACTTTAATGCTCACTTTATTGTACAGTATTTATTTAGCTCTGTTATAGATATTGCTCGCAAGATGTTCTTGTTCTCCAACAAGCATGTGAGAAGTTTCGAACGCTCTTCCAACAAGTGACGAATGGATTGTGTCCATTTGCTTCAGGCCTTACCACCCCTGGAATGTGTAATTATTTTGGAGAGCGCGGATGTTAAAGAAAACCAAATTGCGCTGATTGGTCCCCTGGACAAGGTAAAAAATCTTCTGCCAAAGGAGATCGTTGGCTCCGATGGATTGAAATGGACAACGATATACAACTCCAGCGCGAGGTTCGAATCGGCCCTTGGACAGTAGATGGTTTTGACCCAAGGAATAAAACCGTTTATGAGTTTCTAGGTAAATTAGATGAACAACGAATTTTAGCAAATACAGAAAGTTTTGATATAATTGTGTTTGTTCTTTTATGGGTGTGTGTGGCACGGTTGCAGCCACTGCACGACAAAAAGTACACTGCATCCATTTCTTAATCGCCCCATGGAAGAAATCAACAAAGCAACTGACTCACGCCTTGACGCAATAAAAGCTATGGGTTACGCTCTTGTTTCAATCTGGGAGCACGAATACGATGCGCGCCTAGCAGCAGACATGGAATTCAAACAAGTCATCGAGTTAGCAAACATTGAAGAGCCTATGCACCTACGAGATGCATTCACCGGGGGCCGAACAAACGCTATCAAACTGTACCACAAATGTGCGCCAGGCGAAAAAATCTATTCCCTCGACGTTATTAGTGAGTACCCCTACATCAATAAAAATCTGCCTTATCCAGTGGGAGCTCCTGTCATCATCACAAAGGACTTCCCGCCTGTGGAAAGCATATTCGGAGTGATGAAATGCCGTATCATTCCACCACCGTCATTATTTCTCCCTGTACTGCCGTACAGAACCGACAAGCTTACATTTCCGTTATGTGCCAAATGCGTACAGGAGCGCGTGAACACACCGTGCTGCCATGAAGATGATGACAGGGCTTTGGAAGGAACGTGGTGTACACCAGAAATTCACCGCGCGATAGAAGCTGGCTACCGCATTGAAAAGATTTACTCTGTTTGGCATTATCCAGAGCAGATGCAATATTTATTCAGAGAATACATAGATCTATTTTTGAAGCCTAAAACAGAGGCATCAGGCTATCCACCGAACTGTCGAACAGAGGAAGACAAAGACAGATATATTGAAGAGTTTCTTATTAAAGAAAATATTTTATTGGATAAAACAACATTGCGAAGAACGATGGGCTAAGAGCGTTGTCCAAACTTATGCTGAATAGTTTTTGGTAAAGAGTATTAATTCGATTGGCAACATGCAGTTTTAATTCTGAGTCTTTTACAGGGTAAGTTCGGCCAGCAGGAGGACACATCCAACACCGCATTTGTTGAAAAGAAAGAGATTTTCCATGATTATTTGTTTTCCAATAAATACGAAGTTGCCGGATTCGACTTGGTGACTGATGAAGTTATGGCTGTTCAATACCGTTCTAAAAAAGATTACATCCCAACAAGCAGAAAGACAAATGTTGTCATTGCGGCATTCACAACAGCATATGCGCGGTTGCACTTGCTGAAGTTTATGGAAATGGTTGGAGACCGCTTGTTATATCATGATACTGGCAAGTACTGAATTTCAAGAAACTGTCTTTCGTATTGTGATTCTATCTGTGCACTTTGCAGACAGTATCTTTATATTCACACTGATGACTTGCCTGATCCGCCAGTGGGGACATGTTTAGAGATTTGTCATCGTCCTTGGAGCCTAATGAGCACATCAACGAATTTGTTGCACTCGGTACATTCGGATCTACGTTAAGCTGTTTTACGGTGCAGCTTATAAGTATTTATACTTCATTCTTTTCAGGGCCTAAAGCTACGCGTACCGCACCAACACTGGCAGTGAAACGATAAGGTCAAGGGCTTTACCTTAACAAGGAAAGCCAGGAAACAGTTGAACCTCGAAAGCCTGAAGGAAATGCTATTAGAAAGCCTGGCACCGCAAGACCAGCCAAATGATGTAACCGTGAACTATCCGTTTAACATTACGCGGAATAAGCGTAAATTGGAGGTTTCCGCAAAAGAAATAAATAAACGGTTTCGACTTACATATTCAAAGCGTCGAATTGTCGACACGGAATTTAACACTCGACCATGGGGTGACGTTTCCGTTGATTAAATCTTCAACTGTCAGTGCTGAACAGTTGTTGATACTGGTTTTCATATTATGACTTACTCCGAAAAAAGGCCTCGAGCAATATTATTAAAATTAACATTAGAACAATGCATGTTCCTGCTAACTGCTTCGCAAAAGTTCTTTTTACACACTAGGCGTGCCATTTTGATAGTATATTTTCTTGCTTATGTATGGTGATTTATTATGATTTCGTGCCTTTAATACTTACTTTAAAGTGAAAACACAATCCAGACAACCGATTATATAATACAATCAAAAATTAAAATTTTGTCTAATGATAATATCATCGAATTGTGTGCGGATGTTAGTATTGCATATGTAGCGTGTTTCATACACGTATGAAATATATACAGTGTACAGTTGTGATGACTCATGTGTGGGAGTTGGGAGCTGTAGTTATAAAGTGCAACCGGGAATTGTAACTAGAAAGTCCAGCTCCCAACTCCAGTTTATGACGTAAGCCGTCGCCATTTTGTGTTTATATAAGGTCCGTTTTATTCTAATGTGCTGCGTTTTTTTAGGTTTTTCTTTGCATTTGCGATATTAAATTTTAAGTTTTGCGAATCAATAGGATTTTCGATGCATTTTTTATGCATCTTTTCTGTTGTTTATATTTTTTTAAAATATTTTTTACGTGAATCGACAGGTATTTTGTTTCCCGTGTAGACGAAGAAACGCACGGCAATGTACTGGGCTTTTTCTAGGTTTTTCTTTATATTTACGATATTTTATTTTAAGTTTTGCGAATTAATGGAATTGTTTATGTGTTTATTATTTATGGTCTTTTCTGTTATATGTTTATTTCATTATTATTTACGTGAATCGGCATGAATTTTTTTCCCGCGCAGACGAAGAAACGCACGGAATGTGCTGGTTACTGGAGAAGGTGCCGTGCGCCGCCAGCGGGATGGAGTTCGGGAGATTCCTGGATGAAGTGCAGTACTCGCGCAAGGGCATTTTGAAGTACGAGGCCATCTTCGGCGACGGCTTCGTCAGCACCGGCGGCCAGCGGACCACCAGCGAGTTCTGCCAGATGGTGGGGCTGCAGCGCGGCCAGTATGTCCTGGACGTCGGCGCCGGGATCGCCGGCAGCGCCTTCCACATGGCCAAGGTGATCATACTATTGCGCTGGTATTGTTTAAACACTGTGTCAGTCTGTGTCGACTTTTGTTTTAAGTAACCTTTAATAAGTATCATGGTACGAGTACAAACTATGCACCAGAACAAAACGGCGCTTACAAAAGAAACACTTCCTCTATGCTATCCTGATCGGGGATCGTACCCATGCATTGATATTCGCTGTGTCAGCGTAGTGTAGTGGCGCGAAGTGTGATCTTGTATATCGTAGCGCCCGCATAGCCCGTTGTAGCAGTGCAGTAGTCACATTTTGGTAACGAAATTTCAATTTTTCTTGTTTGTTTGACGTTTTCTTTTACTTATTATAAAATTAACGACAATATAAAAAAAAAATTAATAAAATTCGAGAAACATAAGACATAAGATAAGAAACATAAGAAATTCCATAAGAAATTCCATAAAATAACATGAAATTCCATAAAATTCCATTCCATTCCAAACATAAGAAATTCCATAAAATTAGACGAAATGGACGGTTTTCGTCGTTTTTATGGTTCTGTTATGATACCGCAGCAAAAAAAGAGATTCGAGGTTGACAGAGAAAAGGATCAATGGGAAGAGGATACATAAAAAATTAGCTATTAATAATAAAGTGGTAATAAAAAATAGTAAATTAATTATGGTCATATTAAATTAAGCACTCAGCAGTAATTAATTTGAAGTTATTAATTGGTAAGATTCAATGGTTAATAAATCCTTTAATAACTCTTGGTGTGAGACCGGCATTGTCACGTTAAAGGAGATTGGTAAAAAATTGTTTTTGAGAACTCGACTTGTTTCTTGTTTCAACGTTTAAGTTTGGAGATTATGCGCGGTAATGCTATGAGTGTGTTGTGCACAGTTCTTCTCACGCTAATTGGGACAAATTCTTCATTTGATTATAACTGCTGAGCGAAGCTCACTTTGTACATATTGAGAAATAAATTCCTTCTATTCAATTAAAAATAATAAATTAATACGAGATATTAATTGTTAAGTGTAAAGTTTAATTATAATTTAATTGGGGCGCTGTTGCTAAATGTCGTTTTCTCAGGAATACGGCGTGCATGTGACGGGCGTGGATCTGTCGTCCAACATGTTCTCCATCGCCGTGGAGCGCCGCGGCGAGGCGGTGCTGTCCGCCGGCAGCGTCGATCTGGAGATTGCCGACATCCTGACGCGGGAGTATGCCGCCGAGAGCTTCGATCTCATCTACAGCCGCGATGTCATCCTGCATATCGCTGATAAACGCCGCTTATTCCAGCAGATGTTTGTACGTTGATCAGTTAAAACAAATTACTGATAAATACAAAATAAATCACTGGTGAACAAATATAATAAAAAATAAAGCGCAGTAAGTTAAAAATAAATCTTTGCTAAATTATTCCGCCGCTTACAAATGCTCATGCGTTTATCAATAAAAATTAACCGTGGATAAATACAGATAGGTGACTAAAAATGAAATAGAAAATTAATCATTAATAAATTAAATATTATTTTTAAAAACAGTAAATAATGCGAATTAAGCTGAAATAGATAGAACAGTAGATACCTAAACAAGCGTATTCTATCATTGATAGTGATACTAAATCCTTTTTACGTGTTTTACTTAAAGCATTTGTATCGCATAAGAAATATGTGGTTTTTTAGATTACAAAATATGTCGAATTTTATACGGTAGTCTGTAATCGTGGACTATTTTGTTTTATTGATCTTGATAATTTTTTCAGTATTTTTAACTTTGGAATTAGTTTTTTTGTGCATGAATGTGATGCTAAAAATGCAGTGTATGAAAATATGGTTGTTTATACTGTAGAAAAATCCAAGTTTAATGCATAACAGATATTTTGAAATATTAACTTCCTGAATTGCGCGTTACTACCACTATGTCGCCACTACTCTACAAAATCCGTTATAAACATATTGCATACGCCCGGGTTTTTCGTTGTGTGTAGAAATGGCTGAAACCCGGCGGGAAACTGCTGGTTACCGACTATTGCTGCGGCGATAAGGCGCATTCCACCGATTTCCAGACCTATGTCCAGCAGCGCGGATATATCCTGCTGACCGTCGCCCAGTACGGCCAGGTCAGGGTTTTAGTTTGACGCGAATCGGCGCTATAACTGCTTGTGATCGTAGTGTACTGGCCACAACATCGGTGGCGTGAACTGTTTGGTGTAGTGTTGTGCTAGTTGCGTTGACTGATTTAACGGTTATGAAATGAAGGATCCAATTTTTTTTTCTAAAAATCAGAAGCGGTTTTCATAGTTGTTCTAGGGTTTTTTATTCTGAATGGAATTTATTTAATCTTTATGCTGATATTATATAAGCAGCAGGATCGGCTCTATCAGCCAACTTTTTAAAAATTAGAATTAATAATTCTATTAATAAATAGAAAATCGAATTAAAAAAATGAATTTCCAGCGTGGGAAAAATAATTTCGATAATTCGGACAGAAAAATCGTGATTGGCTGGTTCCAGTTAGCTGCTGGACCAATCACATCACAGGAAACACTTTTGAATCTACCATTGCATTTTTGCTTCTCCAAAAGGTCTGAGTTCTGCAGAACAAACTTTTCAAAGTTGGCTTTGGGAACTAAGTTGGGAAAACTATTATCTTCGTTTTCGTACTAGAGTCATCTCTATCAACCAAGTCAGCACGAGCTGGCTTATCGATTTGTAAGTTGCTTTTGAGTGCAGTGTACTAGGTGAACGATCGTACTGGTACCAACACAGGGCGAGCGAAGCGACGGTTGTTCACAGCTTTGATTTTAATTCCGTTAACGCTGCATTCAAGCACTCCACAGACTTTGCGCCCAGAAAATTACATTTCCCCGAATGAAAAAGAACAGCAGTGCATGCGGATAAGCGAATAGGCAAACCAGTAAATAATTCAGGAGTATAGGATAACTGCAGGCGATTACTAATACTTTCCAGATTTAACTTCTGACCAAAGTTAAAGGAACCAATTACATTAACAATACGATAATTTGTAACCATACAGCGATAACCATACTGACGTAATACACTAGTAAAATAATGCAAGAGAGCGCAGGACTCCCGTCTAGATGTGCCGCCGTTGACTGTAATCCGGCCATTAGCATATAGTTGACAGTGACCTTTAATGGGATGCAGTGTCCGGAGGAGTAAACCGGAAAATCTATGCGGTAGGTACTGGGCCATCGACAGTGTCTTCTCCAACTGAGCGAGGTCCAAGATGCAGTTTAGCTCCGCAGTCGCCACAACATTGGTCACCTTGACAGTCTGTTAATACGAGTACCATTGCTACTACGTATATGCAAAATCAACTGGTACAAATGACTAACGATTCGTAAGGATTCTTACGGTACAAATACTCTTACCGATCCAGTGGACGGTTCCGCATTCGCATTCATCTTGGGTCAGCTCTTTCTTGGTATCCGGTCGCTCTCTCATGCAGGTCGTGCAGGTCTTCTGGTTCAGGTACCCCTCCAACCATCTGGCGTACGCAACAGGCTTATTCCACTTGTCTGGACGTTCACTGGACAGCTGGCAAAACGATGGACACTTCAAATCGTCCAGGTTGAGAACGGTCGCTGGCTTCAGAATGCTGGCTAGGACGGCACACTTGTCTGCACCCTTTGCATAAAACTGCACATCGTACTGACGCTCGCCCTTACAATGAGGAAGACCACAATCGTGTTCGTCACCGAAATCGTCAAACATAACAGAGTACCAGGTATCGATCGTATTACGCAGGCTGCGGATATTTTCTGACAATTGCATGCCAAATATAACACCCTTGTTCACATTACGTAATCCATATTCTTCAACAATGTATTTCTTAGATGGATGGAAAACTGTCGCGAACATACTCTTGCCTTTCTCAGGACAAATAATAGCAAAATGCTTAAACACTTTAACATTTTGAATCTCAACATATTTAGCATCAACAACACAGGGAACAGCCATTTTGACAGCACTCTAATAAGACAAGTGAACATCAAATCCAAATGTGACAACTGATTTTGCTGTAGCTCGTATTTGAAGTGTATTGGCAGTGCTCTTGTGGCTAACCTACACAATGGTGTAGCTAGCCGACGCAGTGGCTAACATACGCAATGGTGTAGCTAACCGACGCAGTGGCTAACGTACACACTGCAGTGGCTAACTTACACAGTGCTAGCCTAACGATTTGGTGGATGAGCTTTAACCACTTATCAGTATAAAATCAGTCTACAGCCAGAGCCCTGAAAAACAGTTTTCAGTTTTGTTTTCCTTTTCTGATCTAACTTTGAAAATCGCTGGTGACCTTTTGTTTTAACAACATTTTTCAATAATGGAATTTCTTGCTGATATCCCGTCGACCTCGACCCCGGCCCGAAAGAATCCTAAGCGCAAGATCACCATGAAGATCTCCAAAGACCGGACGCAGCTGGAACCTATCAAGCGCCAAAAGAAATCCGACATCGCCAGCAGCAGCAGCAACAGCGCATCCGTTCTTACCGGCAAGCATGCCCGCTACGCCTTTACTGAACAGGGACTGCCCGTCTACAAAATCGGGTTCGACAAGTTTGCCCTGGTTCGCTGGTTGGAGGGAGGGACGAAGGTGGTCCTAGCCGAATTCAAAGAGCAGCCGGATGGTACCTTTAAACCTGTGGATGCCAACAAGTACATCGCCATGACCATCAACAACTTTTTGCGCCTCTGTGGATTAATGCTGACTGGTAAAGCCGACTTGGTCTCGTCGTGCCCGCCATTGTTCGATAATGGAAAGCTGTCTCCTCACTACTGCCTGGACGACAACCTGTACTTCCAGTGGAGCCGCTACAACAACATGGACCTGGCCACTGTACGCCGTTTCAACCTGTCGCCTAACAAAGATTTGTACCCAACCAAGGTCGGTATTTCTTTCGGTCGGAAGGCCTACGAAGGACTCAAGGAACTGGTGGTGGACTTTACGCTGCTGAAGGAGATCCGGGACACCAACGAAGCTCACGATGTCGCCGCGGATCCCAAGCCTGGTCTCGCTTCCGTTTCGTTGAAACAGGTTAGTTGAATACGTACAATTATTTTAATTTTACTTGTTACAATTTACACTGTCATTTTTAATTGTCGGTTTTTAACAATGTGTAATTTTTGCGATGCGTGTATTTTACAACATGTAATTTTTGAGCTGTCAGTTTTTGCACTTTGTTATTTTTAAACCGTCAGGTTTTCACACTGGTCCGATTTAATTATTAGGAATTGGCTGAAATTATGTTCCGCAATATTCGTGAGCACCGTGAAAATGCGACTGGTCGTACGCCGATGCGCGGAATCGCTACGGATGAAGAATGGAACACTGCCGAAAAGGACGTTCTGGAAAAGAAGCAGATTCATGGTGTGTTGTTGTTGCTTAATCAGCTTGATGTGGGTCAGTGTATTGATTTAGATGTTGATGGCTACTTGGCACAGTTCCGTAAGGAAGTGCGTGCCCAGTTGGATAAAATGATGATGTAACGCGTAACGCTGCATGCCGTAATTACTGGTTATTTATTTCATATTAATGCACGAACAATCTGTTTTTCTAGAAATTTGCTATTGCATATTTCTGTATTAAGCTGGAAATAATGATTAACAGTTCGGCAAACCATCTTGTCATTGCTCGCCTTATTATCAGTAAACATTTTAACAATTGAGCCAAATGGCTGACCACTGCACCTCTGTAAAATAAAAAACATACAGTACTGTCCACACACAGTAGAAAATTCAGACTGCAACACTTCGCCTTGGGTCACTAGTCTAACACTACCAGAAAATCTTTGCCTGAGTGCGTTGCTGTAGTACGCCGGTAATTTCCCATTCGAGTCGAAAAATTCAATGACACTGGCTTGGTCCTGGTATATGGCTACCCAATGCTCTCCCGGCTGCTTTGCTGGGTCCGTATTGACGATACATGATGCAGGATAAGGCTGTAGATCCATTGGTACTTCATCGGCAGCAAACACACCACGGAATGTCGAGCTAGTAATAGGGTTAGCCCGCATGGCCGCCGATAATTGTTCCGAGTTCATGTTGAGAAGTCAGCAATCAATTGACGATGCTGGTTAAACTCAATAATACTATCAAACACCATCATGCACACCATCATCAGCGATTTAGCATGTGACTTTGCAAAGGTCACCGACACACTTAAATTTCCCTGTTTGATTAAAGTCAACGGTCCACGCCCCGTATGACCAGGTGTCAAATCAAAACCGAAAATAGCGTATCCTTCGTTATAGCCATTACGATTGACCGACCAGCATCCGGTGGGATGGTTTTTTGCGCCCAGTGCATCCAGCAACCCATCGTAACATTCCAATGACTGATTTTTCGCAAAATCAGCATTGTATGGTTTGGTCGGATAACTTTGTCCATCCACTTCCACACTTATCTGCCGTACGTCGAAATGGTGAAAATTAAATGGATTTTTCTGGTAATTGCCGTGAAAATCTTCGCTGTCCAGGAAACCAATGAATACCACCTTAGGAATTTGACCAATCTGCAGATTGGTCACTACAGTACTTTGGTGTTCTTCGGAATGTCGGCCACCCGCATGACAATCCGTTCAATGTGGTACTTAACCGTGCGATTCAGTAACTGGCCGGCTACAGCGGTCATAAAGTCCGGAGCCGGAATATAACGGCGTACTGATAACCGAGCATTCCGAATGAATGGTTTGTATGTTTTGGTATCTTTATCGGCATCCCAAACACGTAGGCAAAATTCTGGCCGGTTCATAACTAATCGTATTTGGACAGGAATGCCCGTACAGAGCGGTTTGCTTTGGTCAAATAAATCGGCAAATATTTTTCCGGATAATTGTACATATTCTCCCTTCCCAAAAAGGTCATGCCGCCATACTTCACCAGTGTTATCGGTCTGATTGTTCATTTTTCCCGGCAAATCCAGCGCATAGCCCGCTGAGCTTAATTGCGAAAATTGCGCTTCCGGAGAATGAAATAACAATGATTCAAAATAAGCGCGATACGGATAAAATGTTGCCGCGTCCGAGATGAGGCGATTAGCCACCGTTACATGAACCGATTGGAATATTGAATGCAGAAAATTGTTCACCGGGGCCACCCCCTCAGCGGCAGTGATTATTTCAAAATTATTCTGGTTATTTTTCTTGACCTTTATTGCCACTTCCAACTCCAGTACCATGTCACCTAAACTCAACAGTCCGGCCGTACTAGGAGGAATGTAGAAGTTAATATCGCCAGCCGTCCCATCCTCGGTAAATATCGTTGTAGGATTAAGTTTCTCGTGTTCAGTGCGCCATCGGTCGGTCAATGTTGCAGGCAAAGCAAAGAGCTGATTTTCCAACTGCATTGCTGGTCTGAATTGGGCATCATCATCATAGCCATGATTACAGAAAATCAGGAATATTTGTCGGGGGAATTCTACGGGCACGCTTTGGTTGTTTTACGGGCTTTACGAGTACGCTTTTCCGCACACCTTCGCCTTGCTGCATCCGTCTACTAATAGCTTCGCTGGCTTGTGCAGCAACGTCTTTAATAGCTCCGGTGGCTGCTTCTTGCAAGTGCGGTGTTGCTGCTTCGAGTGCTGCCTTAGCATGCGGTGCCGCTCTTCGTATAATAGGTTTAGCAAATGAAGAAATCTTAGCAATAATATTCTTTAATACTTGCGCAAAACCAGAACCATTCTGCAAAGTACCACGATAGCGCAGAAGAGGGCTACCACCAGTCTGCGCCACGAAAACGTCTTCATACCGCCGTGGGTCAGGAACATACGGTACTAAAGGCATTTTAAAACAGCTTCTGCGGTCGGAAATGCAATTTCACCAACGATTTGCCGTTCTCGAACTTGGCGTTTTCTCCCAGGTCATCAGCCAATGTCAAGTGCACTGTCTCAAAATGCTGAGCAATAACAGGGACATAATGGGCCTTGTCGAACCTTGCTTCCACGAGAGGATCCGTACCGCCTCTAATAGGTACATTACGCAAAAACTGCGCTGCAGTATCGCCAATTAAACTGTAGTCAGCCACATCACAATAAACAAATAAATTCTGATTTTGCAAATGGGCATTAGCCGCTTGATCAGCAATAAATTCCCGAGTTTCGGAATAATTTTCATCCTTGCATTTTTCTATAAACGTTTCGACAACGCCATCAACAGCCAAAAAATCTGCCTTTTGTGGGGTGAGATCCCAAAAGTCTGTTGTTAGGTGTGATTTTCGAAATCCCAGTATTTTCTGCAATGCCATGGATTCCGGGGGAAAATACACGGTTGTTCGTGGTGTTCCAACAGTAATTTTGACCCGTTGATTATTATGGCTATCGAGTTGCATTTGCACATACTTATTTTCTGGCAAAATGCTCAAGTTCTTGAGAAGGCTTCCGTTGACGCGGAAATAAGGGCTCTTCATGCTCATCACTGGTGCGTTCTTATTGATCACCTCCAGTATTGCCGCCACATTTTTATAATTACCAGCGGGCACTACTATGTCCTCAGTATACGAACTCCGCCCTAGTATTTCTACTAACCGATCCGTATTGGCCTCTTTCTCTTTATCCCAGACTCTAGTATACTCCAGGCCATATACAGTATCCAGAATAATATGCTGGTCATGACTCAGAGTATATAAAGAATTATTGCACTGAAATTCCACCAAAGCCATTTCCCAGCGCCCTTTGAGTGATATGGGATGCTTAAGGCGTGTTGTCCAGTCCGATGCAGTATTTTCGGTGAAACTGTTGACATCGCTGGGCAGCGTTAAGTAGAATGGCGATCCTTCAAACATTTTTCACTGATCCACGAGTCGTGTTCTGGCCCGTATCCCAACCACCGCACTAGTGCTTTACCTTTTCGCCGTTTGATTACAAAATCAATGGTATGCTCTTTATTCTCCACATTCCGCACGCGTGATAATTCTTTCTCGTAAAATTGCCCTTTAATAATTACGCCGTGCTCATCTTTTTGCCGATATACAGGAATCTTGTGCCGTACGACTTTGGCAATGGTGAATATTTCTTCTTTGAAATTATAATTATATCCTTTGTCTAATTTTCCCTTGTTAACAGCTAGACGAACCGTATCGTCCACTTTAAACTTGGGTTCTTCAGCGACAGTGTCTTTGTACAGCTTGTTAAATACTTCCAATGAATTTTCTTCGGTGACATCAACAGGGCGCATGCCGTGAGCGCGGTGGACAGAACGGTTGTACGAATGCACCAGGTCATTGAGCTTATCGGTATAGCGTGTGGACACTCGGTGTCTGAATAGCCGGACCATGCGTGATTTTATAGTGCGTATTACTCTCTCCACCATGGCACATTTTATATCTTCATTCTCGGATGTAAAAAATTCCACTCTTTTGGATTTCAGAAATGACTGAACAATATCATTCACAAATTCGCGCCCTTTATCAGTCTGTACACGCATCGGTTCACCCAAGTCATCAAACACTTTTTGCAAAGCATTTCTTGTTTCCGTAGCATTTTTGCTTTTCATTTGAACCACACATAATTTTTTAGAAAAGCAGTCTATGGCAAACAACAGATATTTTATACCATCATTCTCTTTGTAATATTTAGAAAAATCAGCCAAGTCAATTTGATACTGCATTTGAAGGTCCGTGACCACAATTTGATTGCGTTTAAAACGTTTCGAACGGTCCTTTGTTACCGTGTACTCATCCAGTTCCTCCAACAGCTCCTTGGCCTTCCCACGGTTCAGTTTGTGTTGCTTTGTCGCTTGATAAAACCTTTCTACGCCGCCAAAGCTTCCGGGATTTTTTGCGTCCAGATATTTTTCAGGAGTTGATTCATTGCAACACGTTGAGACACAATTTATCCGGAAAACTCGGCAAAGGCGTAGAACTGACGGCAAAAAGAGGACATGCTACGGTAAGGTTATCCACTTGGCTCGTGGATTGCCTGCGCCTTTTGCCCTCCTTTTGTTTTGCGGGCACGCAGTCGACCGGATGGTGGTGTATGAAAAATTTCCTGGTGGTCAACTTCTGCTGGTGTAGTTGGCGGACTCAACTGACGCCTGGGTACTTTGCGTTTGGGCTCTTTAGCCGGCTTGGGTGGTTTTGGCGCGACGTACTTGGGAATTTGGATGGGGTTTTCTTCGGGAATCGCACGTGGCTTCAGTGCAAGAAAGCGCTCTAACGTTGAAGATAGCTGGTTGGCCTTCTCGTACTCGCTTATATCATTACGGTTAACGATCTTGGCAACTAAATTGTCTAGAGATATCACTTCTACCGCCTCCGGAGGTTGCTTGTTCAACTGAATTTTATTGGCCAGGCGGTCGTCCATTATTCGCTTAGGTACAATTAAAAATTCATCCATTGCCGATTAAACTGCCTAGCACACCGGCAATGACGGGTAAAAGTGCTCCAATAAATCCGCCTTGCTGCAGGATCTTTCGCTTTTTCTTGGTCGGGTATCGGCGTAGTGCCAAGAGCCTCAGGGACTTTCGGTGTCGTTTACAGGTATCCAGATGAGCCGGCGGCAAGGTAATGGTATTTTTAATAATATTGACTGCAATCTCCTCTATCCCTTTCAGCTGGTTCCGATTAACATACTCTAGTAAAACCTTCCGCTGT